ACCACCTGCGTCAGTACGTAATACGTGTGTGTGTGTGTGTGTGTGTGTGTGTGTTTATTGTTTTGCATGACTCATTTTAATAAGTAACTCTTTCATTAAAAAATTTAAGAAAATCCTGTTTTCCATCCTTTGCATGAAATTTCTATATTTTGCATGCATGCATTTTCTGTCTGTTGCATGTATGCTTTTTCTGTCCTTTGCAAGCCTGCAGTTTTTATATTTTGCTTGCATGCATTTTCTATCTGTTGCATCCATGCACTTTCTATCTTTTGCTCGGATGCATTTTTTATCCTTTACATGCATGCATTTTCTGTCCTTTACATGCATGCACTTTCTATCTTTTGCTCAGATGCATTTTCTATCTTTTGCATGCATGCATTTTCCACCTATCTAATGCATGCATTGTACATCTGTTTAATGTATACATTTTCCATTATTTTAATGCATGCATATGTGTGCATCTCTCTTTTGGCAGATGTGACCTCATGTGCCTTGAGGAACGGTGGATGTGATCATACCTGCTCGTTGGGTGCTGAGGGTCGCATCCATTGCAGCTGCAGAGCAGGATGGGAGCTCAGCGCAGACCAAAGAACCTGCATCGGTAAAACACAGAAAACTATTGACTGGTTCATATTATCCAATATCATAGGGCTTTTTTTAATTTTATTTTTTTATAAATATGATCCACGTGAATTGCATAAATCTGAAGAAGAAAAAAATAGTTTGGTGTGACTCTATATCAATTGATTATCAACAAAAGAGAAGTTTTTAATTTAATAAAATAAAAACAATATTTTGAATAATAATAATTATTATTATTATCAAATCCTGAATAACTTCTTTCTCTGTCTCTGTCTGCAGATGTGGACGAGTGTGTGAGTTTTAACGGCGGCTGTGAGCAGGTGTGTGTGAATCACGCTGGCGGTTTTAATTGCAGCTGTCGCTCGGGCTTCGAGTTGCGTAAAGACGACCCGACTAAATGCCATCGTGAGTCACGGCTGTTCACACACACTGACACAATGACACTAGATCATCCAGAGCACCCTCCTCACGGCCGTACATCATTTTCCAGCTCTGTGTGAACCTGCCTGTCTGAACTCTGGAGTGTGTGTCGCTCCGAACACCTGCGACTGTCCGGCGGGATATCCGGGACCAGGATGCTCGGGTAATGTGTCGTGTGATTGAGCTTAATGCAGAATGAGATAGGATGGGATTTTTCCACTTTTTATTATTAATAATATCATGCTAATATCATAGAATTATTATTATATTATTCTAAGCTAATATGTTGACATTTTTACACATTTGACAGACAGTTTTATCCCAAATGACCTGCATTGCATTCAGGGCATTCATTTTTAAAATATACAATGTAAAATGTCTTATAGTTATGATAATGGTGGAATAATGAATATTCTCCACTGAACATAAAATAGTCTGTTTTCTTGGATTGAACTATTTTTTATGATGTGTTTTAGTAGTGAGTTGTAGGTATATTTATAATAATATATGAAAATGTGAGAAACATTCTGGAATTGCCTTCTCCATGAAAGCAAAAAATTGACTTTTTATATTATTTTCACCAAGGCTGCATTTATTTGATTCAAAATGCAGTGAAAATTATGAAATATTATTGTGATTTAAAATAACTCTTTTCTATATTAATATCTATTAAATTATAATATATTTCTGTGATGCGCAGCTGTATTTTCAGCATCATTACT